ATCCCTTTTCTGAAGACAATTCCAGTATTATTCCAGATGTTCGATCTTCCTCTGTCCCTACATCCGATCCTGTTGTCCCTCCTATTATTCACACTTACCATCGTAGGAATACAACTTTTTCTTCTGCAGGTACAATTCCACCTCTCGGCGGACTCTCCATTGGATTCTGAAAATGTGGATCCTGCACCTCCTCGCTATCCTCAATGAGTTTGTAAGTTACCTGATCGTTTTGGCTTCTCTAATTCTTGTTATTCTACTAATTTTTGTTATTTTTTAGCATCTATTCATTCGCTTTCTGAACCTAACTCCTATAAGGAGGCTGTTCTTGATTCTCATTGGCAACAGGCTATGGATGAAGAGCTCTTTGCTTTGCATAAGACTGGCATATGGGATTTGGTACCCTTACCCCCTAATCCACGTGCGGTTGGTTGTCAATGGGTTTATAAAATTAAGACCAAGTCTGATGGTTCCATCGATCGGTATAAGCTCGTTTGTAAGTGTCCTGATCGTTTTGGCTTCTCTAATTCTTGTTATTCTACTAATTTTTGTTATTTTTTAGCATCTATTCATTCGCTTTCTGAACCTAACTCCTATAAGGAGGCTGTTCTTGATTCTCATTGGCAACAGGCTATGGATGAAGAGCTCTTTGCTTTGCATAAGACTGGCATATGGGATTTGGTACCCTTACCCCCTAATACACGTGCGGTTGGTTGTCAATGGGTTTATAAAATTAAGACCAAGTCTGATGGTTCCATCGATCGGTATAAGCTCGTTTGGTTGCAAGGGGATTCACACAGGAGTATGGTATTGATTATGAGGAGACTTTTGCACCTATTGCTAAAATGACAATTGTTCGTGCTTTAATTGCTGTCGCAACAGTTTGTCAGTGGGACCTTTCACAAATGGATGTGAAATGCATTCTTAAAAGGAGATTTGGCAAAGGAAGTTTATATGGTTCCTCCTCCTGGTCTTTCACATAATCCTGGAGAGGTGCAAACTCAAGAAGGCTTTGTATAGTCTCAAGCAAGCTCCTAGAGCTTGGTTTGAGAAGTTTCTACAGTGATACGTGGCTTTGGTTTTTATCCTGGTGATCATGATTCAGCTCTCTTTCTTCATTCTACTTCTGCTGGTCGCATTATTCTCCTTTTCTATGTTGATGACATGATTCTGACCGGTGATGACAAAGCTGGCATTGCTCTTTTGAAGTTGCAGTTGCAACAACAGTTTGAGATGAAGGATCTTGGTCCCCGTTGCTATTTTCTTGGCATTGAAGTAGCCTTTTCTCCCAAGGGCTATCTTCTTTCTCAGTCTAAGTATGCAGCAGAAGTTATACACAAGGCTCGTCTCACAGATTCTCGGACAGTTGACACTCCCCTAGAGCTTAACGTTCGCTATAATTCTACTGACGATTTTCCTTTAGCAAATCCCACTTTATATCATGCTATAGTTGGTAGTTTAGTGTATCTCACTGCTACTCGACCTGATCTTACCTATGCAGTTCACATTGTCAGTCAGTTTGTATCCTCTCCTACTACTATGCATTGGGCTAGAGTTCTTCGTATCTTGTGTTATCTTCGTGGTACTTTAAACCAGAGTTAGTTGTTTTCTTCTACATCACCTTTGGAGCTTCGAGCTTTTTCTGATGCTGTTGGGCTGGGGATCCAACAGACCGTAAGGCTACCACTGGTTTGTGTGTGTTATCTAGGTGATTCTCTCGTTTCTTGGAAAAGCAAGAAACAAACAGTTGTTGATCGCTCTTCTACTGTAGCTGAATATCATGCCATGGCTGCTACTACAGCCGAGGTAGTTTGGTTGCGACGGTTACTTGCTGGTATGGGTGTTTCCTTGCCAGCTTCAACGCCTATGTATTGTGATAACAAGAGTGCCATTCAGATTGCACACAATTCTGTTTTTCATGAGCGTACGAAGCACATCGAGATTGATTGCCATTTCACTCACCATCATCTTCAGCTTGGCACTATTTCTCTCCCCTTTGTTTCTTCTACAATGCAGTTGGCTGACTTCTTCAATTCTTCTTACTGTCACATCGTAGGTTTTTTTTTTTTTTTTTTTGGGGGGGGGGGGGGGGGGTTAGAGGAATAGTTTTATATTTGAGGGCAATCTTGTCCTTTCCCTCAGTTTATTAGTTTAGGTTACTTTATATTCTTATATATTGTATTCCTTTGTATCATCGAATAACAGTAACTACAGATTTATTCTCTTCTCTTTACTGTTTGCACAAATCTAACAATTATAATATGGTTCAATTAAGATTAAGGCCTATAGCAAAGTGTCTAGGGACCATTTATAATTATGTGGATGAAGTGCATTTTGTCCTAGAGTCTAAGTCTAAAGATTGGACTTTAAAACAAGTTATTCAAACATAACTATACATGAAAAACTAGCTCTCAGAAAGACTATCCTACCCATAATCTTGATCTTTGACTTCAATGTCTTTTGAGCTTCATTATCCATCTTCAAGACTTGGATCCTTCTAGATTTTGCCATTGTTCCATTATGTACTTGAGTTTAAGTAAATGTCCTGATAAACACATACTCAAGTAGACAATTAGTATAACACACTTTAAATAGTTTGTTTTCATCAGAATTGCCCATATACCCTTTCAATAGTTTGTTATCATCAGGTAATTACACGCTTGGGTTGAAACCTTAGGGTCAACACTATCCAACTCAATGTATCAAGCCTTATATATAGGCACTAAAATAAAATCCTAATCTAACTACTACTACCAAATAAAGCCCTAAAATTATAAAATACAAAAATAACTCTAAATTTAAATATACTAAAATTAAATTAAATATTTAATCATATCTTATCTAGGCATGAGTATGAAATGTGTCCAATATTTTTGGTAGGACATTTAGTTACAAAAGTTCAATTATATATATTATTGCTTCAAAACGAGTGAAATATCTAGGTTGAATATATGTTACATAAAGACATTACTCTAGAAAAATAAATTTCAAATATTAAATAATACGAACATTTAGCAATATTCATATGCCTTGTTTGTTATTTGGCGCGTCCGACACTCAAATAGACACCCGCACCTAACACATGTACCCCAGTCCATGAATATACATTGTGACTAATTAAAACTTTCTAAATTTTGTTCTTGAGAGAAGAACTTTAGAAAAATAAAGGGGCTTGTAAAAGAAATATCCACAATTATACATAAACAGAAAAGGAAGAAGAGAAAATAATTGGTTTAGATATGATATGATATAGTCCAACTACATTCACAGGCTTTAAGCTAAAATTGGTGGAAAAAGTAGAAAACACCACTTGATTTTCATCAGAGTACTTAGCGAAGTCCACAATTTTGCACAGAGAAATCAAGTAATCATTGGCATTGTTGTCAATGTTTCTGATCAATTAAAATACTTGTTGCTTTGAGATTAGAGGAGGAAGTATTTTGGAGGAGAGAGGAGTGGTCAGATTTCAGCGGGCGGAGGTGGACGGAGTGGTAAAACCAAGCAGAAGAGGGTGAGGTTGGGGACAAAGATGGTAATGTGGTGCATGGTGGCAGGACAGGTGTTGTGGCCAGAGACGAGCCAAGTCTGGATGATGGACTGGTCGTAGGCGACACTGGTGCAAAAGTTAAGCGGCAATTTCATCACGTCCATCGAGATCGGGCACCTGAAGAAGCTCAGCAGTCATGAACAGCTAGTTTATAAGGCAAACCAAATGATGAAGTTTTTGTTTGTCCCTTTTCGTCATTCGAGTTCCACTTCTTTTTTTTTTATTTCATTCATATAACATAAGGACATTTGACTCAATTTACTCCTCTGTTAATGGCAGGCTACTAACAACCCCTCATTTACACTCTTTTCTTACAATGGGGGTGCTGTTCAAACTTCCAGGGGCGAGGGAGTGAGGTAGAGATTATCCTTGAATCATAACTGCTGAAAATGTGTTCTGTCTTCAGGAGTAATTTTTAATAACATGAATTGCATGCATTTAGATATATACTAAATAAATTCTAGAAGATGTAGCTTCTTTTCTGTCAATATCCAAATCACCCAACAACAGTAAAAGTGTGAAACAAGAAGATTGAGGTGATTGCTTGAAACATCTAGATGCATCATGTCTGATAAAGCCTAGATCCCAAAAGCCAGCATTAGAAATGGTCAAGGAGCACCTAGGTGGGATTTGGAAGCAATGTCCTTCAGTAGATGAAATTCACATTTTCGCTTAGCGCTCAAAATTGTTTATTTCATGGTCAAGCCACGAAACTCTGTATATCACCGAAAAGGACTTCTTAATGGAATAATTGTATTCTTTAGCCACATGAAGTAAATTATGGTACATTTATATGTGCGGCCCAAATTGCAAATCCGTTCTTTGGCAATGAAAAAGAGAAATATGTAAGATCATTGGCTGCCTCAGTGTTGATCATGCTGGTAAATTTGTAGCATGCAGGTCAACTAATGAGTACATGCATGCTCCAGCAACAGCAGATAAGCAGCAGTCACATGCTCCTTTTCACTAATAAGTACATGCTGCCTCTTCTAACACAAACCACAACCTACCCCACCTCACTCTCCAAAGAAAAAAGAGAAACAAAAAAGGGAAATGCCATTTATTTCTATGTAAATCTTATAGTCAGTGAGAGGAGGTATAGTAGAAAAAGAAAGGTCCTTAAGCGCTATGAACAAAGCATTTGAGAATTTTCAATTACTTACACGGGTTAAGGAAAATTACACTAGTACTTGTGTGCACTCAGAGTTCAAGTGTTCTTTGAGGTGAGAGTTTTGTGTGGTGTGTGCGCACAAGCGGTGCATAAACAGGTAGGAGAAGAACAAATGACATTGCTCTAAACAGATATCTGCAAGATATGCCCTTAACATACAGATTTTATGATATTAAGTAGTCCAGAGAAAGATAACAGTTTCAGTTTTGAACACTTGGCAGATGACAACAATAAAAAAAAACCGTCTTTCAGATAGAACATATAACAAGAAAATTTCTTCAGTACCTTCCAACTTCTGTAATGTATTACTCATTGACTTAATTTCCAGTACTTGCATATCTAGCCGATTCATGAGTTCCTCAAAGTATCTCTTTTCTGTCAAGAGAAAATAAAAGTCATCAATCATGTAGATGTAAGTTAAAAGAATTCAAAACAAAATATTAAAGGTTAAACATAAAAGGTTGAAGTATTATGATGGAATCCTAATGACAAAATAGGCTATAGCCCCACCAAAACCCACCCTCAGTTTTTGAAGTTAACATTTCCTGGCTTGCTCGTGCCACATCAGCTGCTGCGGCTGCAGCAGCTTTTGCAGCAGCAGCTGTTTCTTCTGCCAAAGTTGGTGTTGAGTTGGTTTTCTTCACAAGATCCTCTTCTTCCAATACAATTTTACGGATCCAAGACTTCAACCTAGGAACAATAGCATTCTGCCAAAAAGGATATGTCATATTATGATTGCACCTAAAATATTATATTATCTGATAAAAGGAATATGGACCCAGCTGCCCGTAGGCAAGAAATGTAAAGACGCAACACAATACCAACAACGGAAAAAGATATTGTAGGTTAGGCATTGGTAAATCTAAATAACAATATTAAGATGGCATAATAATAAGAAGTTTCTGTTTATACCTTAAAAAGAATGGCGGTTCCGGCTCCTGAAACAGCCAGTAATCCTATAGCAAGAAAAGCATGGGACCAGTGGAATCGAGACTGCGTCAAGGTCCCCACATTTGAAATTACACCAGCAGGAGTGGCTGCAGCAGGCTGCAAAGTTTTTGTAGCTTGTGGTTGTGTATTTGAAGATGACCTCAGTTGCCCATCTGTTATCAGTATAATAAAACAAATAGGAAATGTTAGTGACCAATTACTCTAAAACCACAAACTGTTAAAGCTCAATGAAATTCATTTATTAATTTAAATAGCACATCATTAATGTGATTCTGCGAGGAACATTCGAATTGGGTCAAAACTAAAAGCTTTTGAATCATTCATAGAAACAGAAAAAACCCATTGACACAATATAGACTACCTTGATTTGTTCCATCTGGCTGCACACTTGAAACAGTAGGGTGTGGATCCTGTAACTTACACGAAATGTCAGCAAAACACATTTACACTCACACAAGGATATACTGAGCGCTTCAGAAGATATTCCATGATATGGTGCATTCAGAAAAGTAAAAATCAAAAAGAATAACATGATTACAGGGACACGACGAAAAGCTTCATCAATCTCCTCCTTTGTGAGGCCCTTCCTTTCAAGAAAAGATCGTCTATACATGACTGGTGATCCCCTTACTTTTGGGTGTGAAAGGAACTTTACAGCATTTTGCACTTGTTCCTCTCGCATCGGTTCTGAGTTCACAAACACTGAAGTTGTAGAGTTCTCTTTTATAGCCTCTGCCTTGGCATCATCCTGACCCTCTATTATCGGTTGACCAACCTCCGAAGCTATAGGTAGTTAACAAAGTTAGAGATGAAATAATAACACTAAATCAATATATGAAAGGCAAAGCCTAGAAACATATATGCAATGCATAACAGTACAAAACTTAAGAGCTTGAAATGGAGCTGATCCAATCCAATCCAAAGTCCATTTAAACGGGTTTGATTTTAATTCTGAATCCAAATTCAGAGGCGGGTCGGAAATGGATCTTTGTTGAACAAAGATTCGAGTCGGATATGAACATGAGTAATCTTCAATAGATCGGATTTTGCCCGAGATCCAACCCTGATCATGTATATTTTACTATATTTGAATCTTGCTTAAATTATATGAGCTGAAATCCAGTCCATAGGATCTGATTCAGATCCTAAACTAAAAGTGGATCTTGACATTAAAATATGGATCTGCATCTGGATTTACATGAATCCACTTCATTTCAAGCCCTAAGAAGACTACGTTGCACAAAACACAATCATGAGATGGCATGCAGTACACCCCTAATACTCATGGTGGTTCATACACTGAGAGTTTGTTTAATGGCGAAGGGAAGCACTGGAGTGCTTGGGACTCTGTAAAATGTGTTAAGAAAGAAAACTAGTTCTCTGAAATGGTAAAAGAGATTTTCACTCAATAAATGAAGGGCCAATAGTCACTAAAATGATTTATAATCTATGTTGTCAACCATCTTAACATTTCATGTCTGAATCTAAGCAGCATCATATCATAATACTAGTTTTTTTTTTTGATAAATAAGCAATTCATTAAAAAAGCATTCAAAAGGGGAATGTGTCCCTAACAAAACCACAAAAACCTGGGTATCGTAAGGCCCTAGGGAAGCCAAAAACTCAACACTCTCCTCAGCAGAAGAGCAAAGTCTACCCAAACCCCAAAGAAAAAGAGAGCTAATAATAGAAGATTTCAGAACACTGATGAAAGATTCCTCTCCTTCAAAGGATCTTCTATTCTGCTCCCTCCACAAACACCACCAAAGACACAGAGGTGCCATCCTCTAGAACCCTCGAGCCTGTGCTCCCACCCAACCCCCTCTCCAGGTGTCCATCAGGCCTCTCGTAGATCTAGGCATGACCCAACAAACTCCAAATAAACCTAGCAAAAGTTTCCAACAATCAACCGCCACTGGACAATGCAACAGAAGATGATCAACCGACTCACCGTTGCACTTACACATGCAACACCAATTCACCATGATAAGCTTTCTCCTTCTCAAATTATCCAATGTCAAAATGTTACCCCACACAACCGTCCAAGCAAAAGGCCACTATCAATGACGCCTTAGTTCGCCACACTGCCTTCCAAGGGAATACCACCCCATCCGAGTCCACAAGGCATCTGAAAAAAGATCTCACACTAAACATTCCCCTAGCAGAAGAAATCCAAACAAGAGAATCCCTACCTCCTCCCCGGATCACCTGGCTATACAACAACTCTAAAAAACAAAACACATCATCTATCTCCCAATCCTGAAAAAATCACTGAAAAAGCACAACATCCCAAACCGGTCTCCCACTATCAAGGCGATAGTAGTCAGCCACCAAGGCATGCCTATCCACCGCAATCCTAAACAATCTAGGGAAGAAACATGTAAAGTGCGGTCTCTCACACCACACATCCTGCCAAAACCGAATCTCCCTACCATCATGAACTCTGAACCTGATATGCTTAGAAAACTCATGCCATCCCTTTCAAATGTCTTTCCAAACACCGATACCTCCAGGTAAAGACACCACAGCCAAACCCCCACCCCTTCTCTCCTCCCCAAAGCGACACAATATCACCCTCCTCCACAAACTATCATGCCCAATACCAAACCTCCACAACCACTTACCTAACAAAGCCCTGTTAAAAGGCAACAATCGCCTAATCCCGATACCTCCAAACTTAACAGGCTTACACACCTGCTCCCAACGAACCAGATTATACTTAAACTCATCCCCCAAACCTACCCATAAGAAGTTCCTCTGAAGTCTTTCAATACAAGCAACAACCTAGGACGGAATCTGGAAAAGGGATATAATATGTGGGATGCTCGACAAAGTGCTTTTCAACAAGGTAACCCTCCCCCCTTTTGATAAATATTGTTTCTTCCACCCCGCAAGCCTCCTCTCCATCCTCTCCACCACCGAATCCCAAGCATCTACAATCCTCGAAGAAACCCCCAGAGGCAAACCCAGGTAAGAGATCGGAAAAAAACTAACTCCACAACCAAGAACATAAGCTAATTCCTCAATCTTCGGAACCTCACCCACTGGAATCAAAGTGCTCTTCCCCACATTCACTTTCAAACCCGAGACTGACTGAAAACAAATCAACACTGACCTCAAATATCTCATCTAAGACACCTTAGCCTCGCAAAAAACAAGAGTATCATCTGCAAACAACAAGTGAGAAATCTCCAACTGATGCATAACATCCCTTCCCACCCTAAAACCCCTGATGAAACCCACCTCCACAGCCCTCCCCATCAATTTACTAAGCCGTTCCATAACAATGATGAAAAGACGTGAGGATAATGAATCTCCTGACGCAAACCTCGCGAACTACCGAAGAAACCAGTCGCGACCCTATTCACCAACACCGAGAATCTAGCTGAAGAAATGCAGAACTCAATCAAATTCCTCCATTTCTCCCCAAAACCCATCCTTGCCATCAAGTATAGCAAAAAACTCCAACTAACATGATCATAAGCTTTCTCCACATCCAACTTACACAAGACCCCTGGAACCCACTCCTCTCAATCTATCATCCACACACTCCCTAGCAATAAGGACAGGATCCAAAATCTGACACCCCCCTATGAAAGCATTTTGAGATTCCGAAATAACCTCATCTAAAACCACCCTCAACCTCAAAGAAAGAACTTTGGCTATTAGTTTATAAATGCATCCCAACAAACTAATAGGTCTAAAGTCCTTCACATCTACAGGTCCGCCCTTCTTCGGAATGAAAGCTACAAATAATGCATTCAAGACTTCTCAAATCTCCCCTGAGTATGAAAAGCATGAAAGGTTCCTATCACCTCGCCCCTGACCATGTCCCAACTCTCCAAACTAAACCTCATAGTGAAACCATCCGGACCCGGAGCTTTAACCCCATTACAATTTCTCAACGCCTTCAGCACTTCCTCCTCAGAAAACGGAATCTCCAAACCCTCCCTGTTCGCCTCAAAAATCCTATCAAAATTAAGTCCATCCAGCCAGGGTCTCACAGACACAAGCTCCGTATATAACCCCTGATAGAATAGGGCAATCCCCCTGCAAACATCGTCCTCCCTACTCAAAACCACCCTATCCACAGTAAGCCTCCATATGTGACTGCCCCTCATATGATCATTAGCCAACCTATGGAAAAACTTAGTGTTCCCGTCCCCCTCCTTAAGTCATAATGCTCTGGATTTTTGTCTCCACGAAATCTCCTCTGACACAGCAATCTCAGCAATCTCACCCTAGCACGCCGCTCTCCTACTTCTCTGCTCATCGTCAATGCCACCCATGCCTTCCCGGCGATCAATCTCTGCAATCTCCGCCAAAGCCCTACTCTTCCTCCACTCGAGATTCCCGAATACCTCCTTATTCCACCTTTTTATCTCCTTCTTCAGCACCCCAAGCTTTCTAGCAAGAATAAAGTTCGGATTCCCAAACACCATATTACCTTCCCACCAAGACCTCACACACCCTTGGAAATCATCCGCCCTAAGCCACATATTTTCGAAACGGAAAAGAGTGCTTCTAGACCTTAACCCTCCACAATCCAACACCAAAGGAATATGATCCGATGTCGGTCTAGCCAAGGCTGCCTGAGTTGCATCCGGAAACTTCTCCTCCCAATCTCTTAAAATAAGAAATCTATCCAGGCGTAAAAGGGTAGGGGACTCTCTACCATTAACCCATGTGAAAGAAGCACCCTCCAAAGGCAAATCATGAAGATGCTAGCCATCATCGAATTCTGAAAACTGTACCATAGCCTGAATCCATCTTCCTCCTGTCGATCTCTCCAAAGGGGATCTAACCACATTAAAATCACCCCCCACAAACCATAGAAGACTCCACTGAGCCTTAACAAATCCCAACTCCTCCCCGAGAAAATGCCTCTCCCCATCATCCACTGGACCATACACACTCGAGAACATCCAATGAAACCCATCCTCTTCAATAGTAAAACTGTAATAGATGGAGAATCTCCCTCGCCACACACCTACTTTTGACGCCTATCTCTTATCCCACATCACCAAAATACCCCTAGATGTCCCAACAACATCCAACGCCTCCCATTCAATAAACCTCCCACCCCACAAACTCCTAACCACCCTATCTAAAATAGACGCCATCTTCGTCTCCTGTAAGCATACCACATAAACACCCCATTTCCTCACTGCCAATCTGACCACCTTTCTTTTGTCCGAATCATTAAGCCCTCGGACATTCCACAAAATTATGCAACACTTCATTAAAAACCAGTAAATGACACCTCCCCTCTCCCTCTCTCTCTTCCCCTCTCACTGCTCTCCCTCCCCGTCCCATTCTTCCCCTCATAATTAATATCATAAATTAGGCCTCGAATCTCCCTTCCCCCTCTCCACGGGGATAACCGCTTCTTCTTTCTACCAGTTCTGTTCACACTCCCAACATCCTCCCCATTCTTTCCCTCCACAATTGAATGCATCACCAAACGAGCCTGCTCCTCATCTAGCTAAAAAGATAGTCCCAAAATACTGCTCACATTATCAATGTTATCCTTCACCCACTCCACCCCTCTGTCTTCACAACCTACTGCAGAGAACTCCCTCCCCTCGTCCGGCAGTAACACACATAACGGTTGCATCTCCAAACAGGTAGAATCCTCCCATGGAACCATCTCCATAGCATTCCTATCATTACCCCCTCCTCCCAATCTGTCACCACCGTCATCAGTCGAAGCCTCAAATCCATTGAAAGCCAAAGGTGAGCCAAAATCCCCTTCAGAGTCATCCCCTACTGTTTCTGAGCCAAAATCCAGCAAACGGTTCAATCCCTTCAACCCTTTATACATTCTCAATTCCTTCACCAATACTGACGCAACCTCCTGACTTAACTGAAATTTTGAGTCACGTCCCACACACACCGTAACTCCATCCAGACCTACCGGTGCTGCCATCACTGATACATTCTCCCTTAACAACTTGGAAGAAGAGCTCAACAGAATATCCAGTGTATGATTCCTCACCTGTCCCACCTCATCCTTTATCTCTGCATCCAGCCCCATCCCCTCCAAATCCACTTCTACCAGAGGCGACAACACCTCATTTCTCTCCAACTGTCGGTCAACCTCCATCCCCATTTCCCTCCTCAACACCCCACAAGGAGTAGAAGAAGAAGAAGAATGAGCAGACAGAAAGCTCCGAGAGTTAGGGAAAAGAAACATACTAGGTTGGTTTTCCTTTGGGCAAACCCATTTCTGTTTCTCCTTTCGTAACCAACGTTTCCCATCTCTAACTATGGGATCACCATCCTCAAAGAAGTTAATGGCAGAGACCGATTGTCCAAAGCCATCTCTGCACACAGCAACTCCCATAGCGAAACCTTGTCCCCTTGCGACTGATACAAGAACTGGCTCTAACCCAATTCTCTTTCTCCAATCGCATCCAATGTCTATTAACATTACCGAGATCCGCTGCAGAATTCCCCACCTGGGCTTGGCCCAACCCATTCACTCTGGATCTTCTCTCCTCTTCCTTCGAGCCCAAATCCAAGACTCTAATGGACAGGCTCTTATTAGAGCCCAATATACAGCCCTATCTCTCTTCTGCTGGACCAAGTTATTAGGCCCATACCCATCATTGGACTTGTGCTTTTGAACATAAGGACCAGCTGACCTATTTCGCGGCCCATTAAACGGCCCCGTCCCCCTGCCAAGCCCATTCCAACACCTTATCCGTAATCTTCGAAACCCTATCCCCTACACGTGCACGCCTCCAATCCACCCCTTCCCCACTCGCCTTCCACGCGTACATATCACTTAGTCCCTAACCTGGCTGCCATCCATCTTTCTCCGATCTACCCAAGCTTGTCGAACAGACTGAACCAGCATCGGATATGCGAGACACACGTCCATTCTTCTCAAAATTCAGAGATGCTATAGGTTTCGCCACCACAGAAGGAGCAATCTCCTCCGTCACTGAGATCTTAAAAGCCCAATCTCTGTCTTCAACAATCACGAACTCCGGAATGACCCCACCATCGTCCACCGTGATGACTATCCTTTCTGTCTCACTCTTAGAGACGTCGACCTCCCCAAACCCACCTTATTTCTATGCAATATTTACTCTGAAACATACAAAGGGAACTAAAACTTACCAGAAGTATCACATGAAAGTAAGGGCAAGCAAATATCATTTAAGCAGTAACAGGAGACCATTCAATCAGGTAGTGCTTAAATTTGTTACAGGGTTAAAATAATAGCTAATCAAATTGCCAGGCAGTCTCCCACACTATGCCAGAGTAGTTCAACTAAAAAGTTCCCTCATACTTTTTTTTCCTAGTTTGTACTCACACACACCCCCTCCAAGGAATTGTTTGCACCTAGCGGGAATCATTCCAGACCTTACCACAAAGAGAGAGAAATAAAAAGAAAAAGAAAAAAACTAAAAGCTTCTCTCAGAAGGGTGAGCTGCGAGTAGATCTAAAAAATTCTTTTCCTTTTGGCCGAATGATTTGAAATATCATCTGGAGAAGAACTATATCAGTTGATTGACTTTGGCAGTTAGTCACCAATTCTCAATCAACTGGTTGATAAAATTAGTTTCAAAAATAAATAGATCAGCTCCAAAAAGTTTTACTAATATTTAATATATCTGCATGTAAGGGCATTTATGTTCTAATCAAGAGACGTAAAACTACCTAACACACTGTTCCTATATTTTATGAACAAAAAAAAAAATGTTAGATCTTGGTGAAAGCACAATAGAAAAATGAGGGGATTTTATGAAAAGTTGTGGATTTTCAACAACACCAAGCCGCAAACAACATCAAAGGAAATATGCCCATATGGTGAAATTATCAGCGTAAAAGAGTAAAGTAGTAGACTAGTTTGTACAGATTATAATGCTCAAAATGAACTCAACAAAGCAAAATGCTTCGTTTCATTGCTGAGAGATGCAAGGATAAAATTTTGTTCATTATTTGCATCCTGATAAATCAAATATTCCACTCAGCTAATCCACATAAACTGTTTGGCCCACCTGATTCCGGGTTTTTCTTTATTTTCCTGGAAACAAACTTTGTGCTTTTCTAATTTGCATATCTTTCTCAGAAACCAAAACGATTGTATTGAATCGAAGTTCAAGTAAATCAGATGTGACACGAAAAGTTAAATTGGAACACTTGACAGCAGAACAAAAGAAAAAATCACCTGGGTTTTGGGATTCTTGGTACGTTGGATTCGGAGGAGCCGCGGACTGAGTCGCCATAGTCACTTTCTGACTGATTTCCCAAAAACAAAAACACAGAAAATGAGAGAAAATGAAAGGAAAACAAGTTTTCGAAGTTGACACAGAAACTGAATAAATGGCAACAATTCTTATTGCTTACGGAAGATGATTATGCTAGAGAGATTGGGATTGTGATCAAAGGCCAAAAAAAAAAGAAGGGCTCCGTCAGAGGTGGTTTTCGCTGATCCCGAAGCGAAGCAGTGGCGGTAGGGTTGTGTTTGGCGTTTGGGTAGTGAGAAACACCAAAACCGGTGCGGAAAATATTGAGCTCAATGGTAATTCCGCTCTTTCTGCCTACGGTCTATCCATGTTGCTGGAACAGCAAATTTTTTTTTTTTTTTGTTTTTTTCCCCTTAAATCAACAACAATTTTTTTTTTTTTTTTTTTTTTCAATAGCATTTCATTTTCTACTGAACAATGTGCGTATTTGGTTTCCTTAACATGATAGATTAATAACAAGTATCATAGTTACTATTAGATTCTATATTATTACTATTTAAATATTATGTAAAAATAGAATATATATATATATAATTATTATTATAAAACAATAATTTATATATATAATTTCTTATAAAATATAGTTATATATAATAAAATAAAATTATATAAAAATAAAAGAACCTCATAATAAGTCGAGGCTAGAATTTGATTCTATATCCTTAAAACATATTTGCTTCGCTATAGTGCTAACGGACTTAGTGACGTCTATCTCCCTGAATAAAACAATTTTTCTTCCTTCGGTAGTAGCACTGTAAACCAAAGAAATGGGCAAACCGGCTCGATATATCACTCACTTTCTGAAGTAAATTCGGGCTCACACACTAAGCTCTATGTATGCAACTATGTTTGAAGAGAGGAGGAAGAGGAAAATTCAGAAGAAGGGAAGTATTCTAAATTTTGGTGTGTTTTGCAAATGATCCCAATGGGAGTTTCTATAGGAAGCAAGGTGCCTTTTCGGGTGGGTGCAACCATGGGTTATGATGGTTCATTCAAAATAGAACCAGGTGCAACCCTTTGGAAAAAATTGAAAAATTATTTTAATTCAAATTCAAATACCAGCACTGGTTCGGACCAGTCACACCCATTGAAACCCATCTGAATAAGCCCAGCTAAAAATTAAATTAAGTTCAACACAGGCTCAATTCCATTTAATAAAAAATTAACTGGACTTTATAATCAAGCCCAAGCCTAGATCAAGTCGGGCACTCGCGTGTGTGGTAAATGGTTTGGACCTAAACTTGCTTAGGTCCTCCCCCTCTTAAAAACTTGGGTGTCCATGGGCCCAAACCCAAATCCTAAACTTAGCTTATTTAAATTTCAATTGGTTTCATCATTTTTTTCATGTGGGACAAGCACTTCCCACATTTTGCATACCCATTTAGGTTTATCAAATACCTTACTTTGGAGCTAATTTCTTATTCACCAAGAAACGGATTTAAGAAAGTAAATATACCATATTCATCTCCTTAAGGAGAGGAACGTGTTCATCTATAGATCCGCAAAAAAATCTTAGTGGAACCTACTCCAAATTTCATCCAAAGTTTCTATTTTGTATGCCCCGTTTCCAACAATCCCCCACATTAATTAAAATTAGCGTCTATTGCAAATGGTCAAAATGTAGACACTAGAGAGAGTACTATTAGAAAGTTACCGCATCAGGATAGGTAGCTTTTGGCCTTGATCCTTCCCTAGTGTATTACTATCGGATTTACTGGCTAACCAATGAACACAATGTCTTGAACTGCTTAGCCTTTGATGTAAACCAAGACAATAGCAAACACACAATTCCTTCCCGCACAAAGTCGGTTCTCATGGTTGTGTTCATATAACTCTGAACAACTCCTGCTATTTCATGAGTACTCTAGAAAACTTAGCCTTCGAAATTCTCATAGAAGCGGCCCCACTTCACACTCATATAGTTGACCTCTTATTAAGAGTATACTACCATACCCCACTTGAATTTTCAAGATATAAATCATTAAAAGTATAGCTTATCTTAATCCTCGCTGTAGGTGGCACTGTCTCATCATAGAAGTGGGTAGAAGATTAAATCTTCTCACTACTTCTAGTGAGCCATTCAGAATTTATGTTGTCCCTTTGAACCTAGTTCTTGGGATCTCCACTCAATTAGGTTGGGTTTCCATTAAGATGACTCGTTAGCTTTTAACTTTAATCACATTCCCCTCGATGAACTATACACTTACTCTCTTGTCAAATCTTTTGTAAACGGATTCGTTAAATTATCTTTAGACCTGATATAATCTATTGAGATTATCCCACTTAAGAGCAATTGTCTAACAGTATTATGCCTTCGAGATATATGTCAAGACTTACCGTTATACATATTACTTTGTGCCCTTCCAATTGTTGATTGACTATCACAATGTATACATATAGTATGCACATGTTTAGGCCAATTTGGAATATCAGCCACTCAATTTCTTCTCCAATTTTATCCAAAGCAATAAATTCAAATTCCATAGTGGATCTGGTAATGTAAGTTTATTTTAAAGATTTCCAAGATATGATGATAAGCGCTGAAAAGTGCGCATTTAAACCCCTTAAGCTTCAGTATTTTAGGACCTTATTCCATCTTATTATACCATTATAGTCTAATTTCATGTTATGTCCCTTTTCAGGCACTTATCCCTAAAATAAATCAATTTAACTGAATTAGAGCTTAAAAGAAGCATTCTTAAGCTTAGTGGAAGAAATGAGCAAAATGGAAGCAAAGTGGTGCTTCCTTCGATCGATTGAACCAATCCTCGATCGATCACACAGTGATTGTTCCAACCATGCCATGAAGGATTGAGCTTTTTGTCCTTATCCTTAGGAAATTTCCCTTTTCGATCGATCCAACATTCCTTCGATCGATCGAACATTTTTGATCTTATCCTCACCTACCACTTTTGTCTTTTTCCCAAAATATCCCGAAAATATCTCAGTTTTGTCATTATTCATAAAGGCACCACCATAGTTTGATCGATCGAAGCACTATAATGATCGATCGAACTTCCTCCAGTGCGTGAAAAACAGAGTTCCAGCCAATTAGAAGGCGTGCTCATGGTGCAATCATTTAGAGGCCCTAGTGCACGAGTTCTAACCATGGGGTGTGACATTTGAGCTACCTATATAAGGATTTTGGCTATTTGGAAACCATATACAATCAATAGGGAACCATATACAATAGGGAGGTTTGGAGTAGTCTAAAGGGAGAGAGAGAGATACACACCATTTGGGGAGAGCTCTTCCACTCATCTAGGGTTTCCATCAAAGAGAAGAAGATCATTTCTACCATAGAGATAGCCCTTGAGGGTTGGATGATAACATTAATGAGTGGCTAAACCATTCTCTTGGAGTTCAAGCTCCGGTTCCTACAATGATCCTTTGTGATCATTACAATTTCCATGAATACCATGCACCAACTTGTATCGTGCTTCCTAACTTTGGGGCTGATCAATATGAAATTAAGCCCGAGACTATTCATATGTGTCCACTTTTCTACGGCTTAAACGATGAGGAACCATATAAACATTTTGATGAGTTTTTTGAGATATGCTCCACCGTGAAATACATGAATACCCCAGAGGAAATCCTTAGGTTACTCATTTTCCCCTTTACTCCTAAAAACAAGGCAAAACATTGGTTCAACAACTTGAGGGCGAATCAATAACTTCTTGGATACAAATGCAAAATGAATTTTTTTAAAAAATTTACCCTGTAAGTTTGACCAATTTAATGCGAACTGTCATTAGAGAATTTTCTCATGGGGAAGGAGAACTTTTGCATGAGGCTTGGGAAAGATTGAATAACTTGTTAAGGAAATGTTCCCATCATGGCATTCCAAAATAGCAAGTAGTTCAATACTTCTATGAAAGCCTATCCACTACTCATAAGGACATAGTTGATACATCATGTGGAGGCTCATATTTTGGAAAGCATGAAGAAGATGTTTGGCACCTTTTTGAAAAAATGAGTGAAAATTCATTGCATAAATTTCACACTTCTCGGTCGAGTCATGATTCTAATAAAAAGAAAATTTTGAAAGTGTGTCAAATAGGAAGTCCAATGGAGATTGTGGCCAAGGTTAAAACTCTTTCTCAAAGACTTGATCAATTTTTACTAAGTCAAAAACTGGCTATCAAATCATCTCATTTTCATCATTCCTACCATTCTTGTGAGCCTTGCATGATATGTTCTAATGTCTTATATTCTACTTCCAATTGTCCTCATGGACATATGTTTAATGAACACTTTGAATAAGTAAATGTTACATTTGCTCACCCTTATTTAAATGTTTATATCCCAATGTGGAATGAAAATCCAAATCCTTTTCAAGCTAAAAATCTTCAAAATCGATATGTTTCTCCTCATAAAAGAAATGAAGGTTCTCAAGGATTTGTTTCATCTTTTTATCATCATCAAAGAATGAATCACTATTCTCATCCTCAAGTGTATGATTCTCAAATTTGCTCTCACCATCCACATACACTTTCTAGTAATTCCATATTTGAGGATAAGGTTTTGGTGGCTCTGGGTAGTTTGGAAATGAATGCTAAATTGTTACATTCTCATTCTTAATCGATATCAAAGCTTGAATCCCAAATCGGGATGATAGCTAATGCATTGAATGCGAAAAAAATTGGTAAACTACCAAGCCAACCCGAAAAGAATCCAAAGGCCCAATACCTTGTGGAGGCAAACCCTACATCGGGGTGTCCTCCACAAGAGCAAGTGCAAGCCATTACCACTTTAAGAAGTGGTAAGCAAATTGACAATAAGATTGAAAAACCAAGTGAAGATAGTGAACCGGTGCAACCCAAGGTTAGTACCCGTCCCGTTTCCAATCTTATTCCTACTTCCTTGGATGAAAGTGCTCTCACTAAGAATTCTCAATCTTCATCGTCATCTCCTCAAATTGAAAAACCTTATAAGCCAAAAGCTCCATTTCCATATGCGTTAAGAAAGACTTTGTCTTTTGGGAGGCAAGAAGGAAAAATCCATGACATGATGGAAGTGTTTAAACAAGTTAACATAAATTTTCCTCTCTTTGATGTAATTAGACATATTCCGCCTTATGTAAAACTTTTAAAAGATCTTTACACACAAAAGAGAAATAACAAGGGACAAAGCCCTAAAAAAGTGTTCCTTACGGAGCAAATGAGTTCCATCATTCAGCATAACATTCCACCTAAGTTCAAAGATCCCGGTGCTCTAACCATTTCATGTGTGATTGAAAACCATGAGGTTCGTAAAGCTCTTCTTGACTTAGGAGCGAGTGTTAATTTGATTCCCTACTCCATGTATGTCTAACTAGGATTGAATG